TGATGGCGAAATAAATCGCAGCAGTGATTCAGCACAATTTCCATTTTTGCCACTAAGCCGGTCCTCCACATGGTCCTACCAGTAGTCCTCATTACCGTGTGCTACCAGTCCCCCCGATTTTTTAACTTCGAGGAGACTGGTGGTTTAAGGCCCATAAGAACGAGACTTCCCATAACTTAAATTGAGGCTGCCGTCCCTCCCGTAATAATTCCTTTTTCTTTTACTCGGACAACATGGACCAGTTCTCAATTTTATGTGTATCATCCTTGTGCAGGGACCGTGCTAATCTTGTGTGTATCGCTCCATTTTTTTATGGATGTGGCGAAGGACTCTATGCCATGCGTAATAATTCATGGGGATCATCCTTGCGCAGGGGCCATGAAAACAATTAGCTGTGCCACAGCCGTCATCTCAGAGGCACTATCACATGAGATGGAGCAGTTGGCCACTGCTACATCGGACCCTACAAATAGCAGTGCCACAGCCGTCATCTCAGAGGAACTATCACATCGGATGGAACAATTGGCCACTGCTACATCAGACCCTGCAAGAAATTCTTTGGAAACGAGACACGGATACTGTCTCTGTGGTTTAGTAGTCTTAGCAGCAGAGCCCCCGTCCCTGTGGTTAGGGAAAGTAGTTTTAGGAGCCGATCGGGCTGTGTTTGGCACATCCTGACATATACTTTTTGTGCAACACAAGTGCGACTGCTGTAGGAAATGCATTTTGACTGTGGAGCCCAGTTTTTATGCACAGAAAATCCTCCTTTTTTTATTTCTTACTGTTTAGGGTCCTACCCCTTACGAGAGCCCCACCCACCCTTCCTCCCATCAATTCTCCCCAGAGCAACCCCAACCCAGACCATCACCCTTCCACCATCTTGGCAGGGTGACGTGATCGGACAACGGTTGCTGGCACCAGGGCTAGTTGAAGAATGTTCAGACGAGCCCTGTCATACTGGTACTTAGGGAACTATGCATAAGCGTTCTCCCTACAGGCCCCAGGGTAAACCCTTAATGCTCCCAAACTTACCTATGCTCCCCAGTGTATACGTCTACCATGCACACGCTACATATCACAGGCAGTGTCTAATGCCCTCCCCGCTAGCCAAGGTCTAACCTATCACACCTCCTGAGCAGCCCAGGTATACCCACCTGGCACAGCTGTTATCGGTTGTTCTGGCTATCAATGTGACCTAGAGCATCAGTAGGTGTACAGCCACCATTCGGCCTATGACCGGTTGGATCTGGGCGACCGGTGGGTGACCGGGCGACCGGGGTCAGCCGCTGGCAGTCATGGTTTGGCCCTGCCCTCCCCGTATAAGCTGAGATAAATGCCAAATTGCCCCTAAAAGATGTGGGTAGAGTGGAATACCCCTCTGACACAAAGAAAATGTTTTGTGAAATGCCCCTGGCGTCAGTTGGACCTGCCATCTTTGCAAAATACCCCTACCGGGTACTGTCCATCTTTGCGAAATGTCCCGGTACTTGCCAACTTTTCCCACGCCCTATGTATTTTCGATTTACCCCTAGTGGCCCAGGTCATCTTTGCGTTTTGCCCCCTCGCACACACACACACACACAGAGAGAGAGAGAGAGAGAGAGAGAGAGAGAGAGAGAGAGAGAGAGAGAGATCAGGAGTGCCAAGCAGGAGGTTTTCAGAGATGGTGATGTGGCATAGGAGGAGCTGGAGATGGGGAACCTTACCCGGGAGGACAATTAATGAAGCTGCCGAACACAGCACGGCAGAGACTTGGAACGAGTTTGAAAGTTTGAATCACGCACACAAACTGCCCCGCCGGCGGGCCTTGGATATTCCACAAAGTTGTCCACCCGGTATGGAGGGCAAACCAGGTAAAACATGGTGCAGGCCCAGGCCCCAACGACACGGTCCAGAATGCAAATTTGCACATGGGCCTGACAGGGCAAAACGCAAAGAATTAGGCCCCAAAGGGCATTCCGCTCTACCCACATCTTTTAGGGGCATTTTGGCATATACCTGAACTTATAGGGGTATTTCACAAGTTGTACCAACTAAAAAATACAAAATTTATAAAACCAAAAAAAGAAACAAGAAGCCTTTTTTCTTTTCTTTTCTTTTGTCTACATTCATCATCAATCAATCAATCAATACACACACACACACAGATGGTCGAGTCATCAATCGATTCGAATCGAGTCGATTGAATCGACACACACACACACGATCAACTCGATCGATCGAGTTGATCAAATCCATCAATTCAAATCGATCGATCGAGGCGACCACGTGTGTGTGTGTGTGTGCATGTGTGCGTGTGTGTGTGTGTGTGTGTGTGTGTGTGTGTGCGGCGCGTGCGCGCGCACGTGCCCGCATGCGCGTTGTTGTGTGCATGTGCACGCACGCATGCTCTGCACACACAGCGACCTTTTTTTTTCCATTCAATGAATGAATGAACGAATGAAGGAATCAATCAATCTGATTCAATCGACAATCAATCAATCAATCAATCATCAATTAATCAATCAATCAATCAATTGATTTTTTTTCTTTTTTCTTTTTTCTTTTACCCCGTCCAAAACTACCTAGCCCTGACCTTTCCAGAAAATCCTTTTCTTTTTTTTTGCATTGGGGGGGGGGGGCGCCCAGCCCTGCGCAACCGGAACCACGACTTCGGCCCGCCGAGGACTCCCCCCCCTGGCGGCTACGACCACGTGGAGGACCCCCCCCCTGGCGGCTACGACCACGTGACGGTTGTGACCGGCCCAGTCATGACTGGGAGCCCCCGAACAACCGTGGCCTCGATCGGCGCAGTCGGAGGTCAGGGGCATTTATAGCATCTGGCCCCCTATCTCAGTCATCCACAAGACCCCTCTCCAGTCGCTTGTGGTTGTACTGCTGTTGTTGTAGTCGTTGGTAGTATAGCATCTGGAGGTATACTGGCCTCTATCATCCACAAGCGGTTAATAGGGACCCCGTAGTTAGTATGATCTCCACTCTATGAATTGGCGGCAAGTTTGGTTAAAATGACCCTTGGGTTTTGTTATAAATGGCCTGATAAGTGGTCTGAAAATTGAGGCCTTCGTTAACCGTCTCTCCTATCATCAGGAGGTATGTGGCCACCATCCGTGCGCATACCTTGGTCATCAACTAGCCCCCTCCGGTCCTTCTAACTGTATGTCATCACCCAGAGTAGCTCCGGTCTCGGTCATCGGTAGGCACACGGCCAACATCTGCCCCCATACCTCTGTCGTCAACCATGCCTACTCTGGTCCATTTTTGTCAATATGGGGAGCAGACAATCCTCCACTACAGACCCTCCTCGCCCCCCCCACAAAGCAAGGCCCTAAGGTAACCACCTACATGATAAACCACTCCACTAGGCCTACCTGGCCCATCCCTGCCTGCACCCCAGTTATATCAGTACTATGTGATACACAGGGTCAATCAGAGTCGATCCTTGGAGCTCTCCCTTGCAGCACCCTAGCTCAACCAACTGAGCTACAACATCATCTGATCTGTCTATGCACTGCACTCGACTTTGGTTGAGTGTGTGGGGTGCCAACCTAGCACCAACTGAACATGTGCAGGAGAGAGGTTGAGGGCGGCTAGAATCGAACCCACAACCTCTTCGTTGCAACGCCAGAGCTCTAACCCACTGAGGTACAGTGTTTGTCAAAGTCTGTGCCACAGCCTCGAAGTAAGCCCATGAGCCAACTCGAAGTCAGCATGTGCCGTGGAATCATCATCACCTCTGCTTTGGTTTTTGGATGCCCACCTTCAGTTATTTTGGCTTCCGCTTTAGGTTTTCCCAGTGTCCGAATTCAGCCAGTGCCAGCAGCATCCCTTAGGTCTTTCAGTGCAGCCCACTTTGCCATCAGCTGTTTCCGGGGTACCGAAGATCAAAACCGAAGAACGCACTGCTTATCCGACGGCGGCTTTTGACGACCGGCAGAATTCGGTTACCGTGAGCCACAACATAGTGTAACATCCGACCAGAGGAACCCTAAAAGAGAGACAAAATTAATCCTAGACACCATCAAAGAAGCTCAGGCTAGCACAAAGACCATATCGGATCTAGTCCAAAACATCTGCATGCACCCGTGCAGCAAGATGCACACAGACTATGAAACCAACAGTACACCTTGGCCTCTAGGCACCTTACTGAGCTCCAAGCTTTTCCGAACTGCCAGCAGCGCACTTTTTTTCTTTTCTGGCTGGCACCGCCAGCCATTGTGGTCCGGTAGGGCGAGCCTCCGAAACTTTTGTAGGCAACGAGTTTCTTTTTCAGCAAGGCCGGGGCAGGGTGCTCGCAGTTCAAGTGACCTTTCCTGATAACACATGACAGTACATATAGCCACCACCTATGAGAAAAAGCACACATTCCCACCAACGGCTTGCCCCAGTAGTTGTTAAGACCTATCTGCAGTCCTATTATTTTCTCAGTGACGGAAATATTGACGTCCTCCTCCACATTGACTCAGTCGTGTATCAAGTTGTGATGCATTGATGCATGCACAAAATTCACGAAGGAATGAACATGTCAATCAATGAGTGAATGAACCAACAGACCGGTCAGTTGCAGAGAGAAATCAACTGACGACTGAATGAGGAAATGAGCAGAGGGATGAACACATGAGAAAGACGACCAAACAAAAGAGTAATGGACAGATGAACAAATGGATCGATGAAGGAAAGGAACGAAGCAAGGACGATAGGTAAGGAAGGAATGAAGGAAAAGGTAGGCATGGAAGGAAAGAATAAATGTACCACCGGGAAGGAAAGGAGAGAAAGAAAGGAAGAAAGAATGACAAACTGGGAAAGAAGGGCATGGGGGAGGGAGACACAAAAGCAAGGAACCCATGAGAGAAAGGAGGGAACGAATACAACTGAAGGCCGACACAAGAGCAGTGGATTTGACAGACACAAGTTAGGGCAGAGACAAAAGCATCAAACAAAGAATTCTGGAGTAGGAAACATTTAAGCAGGACCATGGTACACCGGACACATACAGGACTGACCTTTTGAAATTTAGCAGATGCCCTGCTCAGCTTGCACAGGTTGTCATAAACCAGAGAGGTGCTTTGGTTCCCAGCTGCCGAGGCGAGATAAGCGAGCAGATGGCAGAAAACAACCTGCTTAGAATCCTGGACAAACCGTCTCCTAGGTGCTGGAGTGTCTTTTAGAGGTTCACAAGCAAAATGGAACAGAAGCGGAGCAGAGCGAGGGCTGAAGAGAGAGGAGCTCCTGTGCTACTTCCTCAGAAACTAACCAAAAGGGCAATGATTTAACAAGCTCAGAACATGAAAAAGGGAAACCCTCAACAGCATGTTCTTGGCTTAGAAAACAAAAAAAAGGAAAACTCTCAACACCATGTTCTCTGCTATGAACTTGCTTAACGGCTGATTTGTCAACTTGATGCCCCATTGCCCAAGCAAACAATGGTAAAAATAAAATGAGGAGGGAAAAGACAAAAAGAAAGTCTTAAAGCACATTCCTGGCTGGGTACTTGCTTAACCATTCATTTGTCAGGTAAGTCAATTGCTATTGCCCTTACACACTTTTCTCTTGCTATTGCCGTGACATGCTATTCTCTTACATTCGACTTCGCTTTATGCTGTCCTTGTTTCGTAACATAGAAAAAAGGGGCAATCCTTGGGCAGTATCCACGCACCATTCAGCCTAGAACCCTGCTACTGGCTTGCACTTCAACATTGTTATCTTAAATCTTAATTCAAAAAATTCAAAACTATTCACATCCAGAACTTTCATACCTGAAAGCAGAGCAGCATGGCCACTCATTGGGGAACCCCAACTGGTCGGGGACCGAACAGCTGAGCAGTCCACCAGTTGGGGGGGTGTCGCTTCCCCACGAGGTACGGTCCTTGTTGTTGTTGTTCTTCTCCTCCTCCTCCTCATTATTATTACTCTTTTTTTTTCCCTTCGGAACAGCGTAACTCTTCCCTTGTCGACATTCATCATCATCATCATCATCATCATCATCATCAACAGCACAGCTCCGGCTTTGTGAACCACTACGATCTTCTTTTTCTTCTCCTCCTCCTCCTCTTCATCATAATCATCATCATCAATTTGAATTTTGAAACCATAGGTGTGTACTACATCAACTTTCCCCATTCTTCTTCTTCTTCTTCTTCTTCTTCTTCTTCTTCTTCTTCTTCTTCTTCTTTCTTCTTCTTCTTCTTCATCATCATGAAGGTTGAAACCCTATGTGTATCATGCTGCAATTTCCTTCTACTTCTTCATCATCATCATCATCATCATCATCATCATCATTTTTCCATCAACGTTGAAATCCCCCCACCTTGAATGTCGGGCTGTCCCTTACCTCGAGTACCAGGCCACCCCCCACCCTCCGGATCAGCTACCCCCGACCTCAAGTACCAGGCCACTCCCCACCCCCCCTTCCCGACAGCAAAGCCAAGCCAAACACCCAGAAACATCATTTCCACAGCTGTTGCTGTTCTGCTCTCGGATTCAACAGACACCACCCCGATCGGCCACAGCTGATCGGTCGACGAGTGGGCCACTGCACAACTGTTGGCAGTCGGCAGTCTGCATCACTGCAACGCATCTGAAAGTGATAATCCAGAAGACTGGATTCACATATTGTCTGAGAACTTAGCAGATTTATTATTAGACCACCACTATCTGAAAGGGCCTCCTTATTCCCGGAGTAGCAACTACCTAGGTGTGTAGTACCGCAATTTTCTTCCTCTTCATCTTCATTATCATCAACATCACCATTGTCATCGATGTTGAAATTTCCCCACCTCGCGTACCAGGCTACGCCTGACCACAAGTACCACGCTACCCCCCACCCCCTTCATCGGCTACCCTCAGCCGAGAGTAAGGCGACCTCCAACCCCTCCACCGCATAGCAAAGCCAACCACCCGGAAACATCGTTTCAACAGCTCTTTTCAGACATTTGGGGCATGGGCAAGGCTGTCCTCGCAGATTCCACATACACAGCCCTGATCAGCCACAGTTGCCCGGTCAGCCATAACCACCCAGACGGGCGATCAGTCCGCTGCACAACCAACAGTGTTCGGCAGTTGTCAGCATTGCAACTGCCCTGAAGTGGCAATCCACAATACTGGATTAAATGTGGATTTACGTATTGTCTGAGAACATACCATATTTATAGTTAGATCACCACTATCCCGAAGGGCCTCCTTATTCCCCCCCCAACGGAATGCTAGAAACTACGATGGTACCTGGCCTTGTTAGGTTTGGCAAGTCAGTATCCGAAGGTAATAGTAGTTCAAAAATCAAAATCTCAAGATATAAAAAAAAAAAGCGAAAAAAAGGAAGTTGACATGTGGATGCATCAGCTCATTCCTCTGTTCGTAAGCAGAGAAACGAGAGGCCAAAGCTGCTGAAGTCCACACCAGAACTGATTATCCTTCCACCATAAATATCTGATGCATTCCCAAACCAGGGCACAAATGTTTCCGTAAGATTAGTAGAGGCTATCATTTCCTCTAACCATTCAGAAGGTTCCATCACAAGGCTGGCATTTGCACAACCACAATCACTGTTGAAGTCCACACCTGAAACAATTATCCTTCCAGCATAAACATCTGGTGCATTCCCCAAACCAGGGCACAAATGTTTCTCTACGATCAAAACAGGATATCATTTGCTCTAAGCCTTCGGAAGGTTCCTACAGACAGCTGCTCGGACCTGGCATTTGCACAAACACAATCACACTGTTCTAAGCAAAAAGGCTAAGGGAAGTTCTCTTGGCCCTAAAAGAAAATGATGCACACCACAATAAGCACACACTTTGAACTTTTTTCTTTCATCGATGAATGTCTGGCATGAGAGGGGAGTGTATAGTTTAGAAACTTTGAACTCTAAACGCCTCTACGTCCTGAAAATCCAGTTCATTGCCTGCAGACCAAAAAGGCATGGGCCTCCTGGTAACCAGGGCAGCTGTTATGGGCAGTGTGGTTTACGGAAGATCAGCCTCACTGCACCCACTTCGCTGCATTGACTGCCACCTAAGTTTGCCGATGAGCATCCAGTAAGCCCCTACAGACCTTTCCGAAAGGTCACTTTGCCACTCAGTTAGGTTCGGAAATGCCAAGAACAGCCCTGTCAGAATGTACCTTTACAGTGCAAACAGTCAGCTACACAACGTGTAAGCTGCAGAGCAGATCAATTTCAAACATCCAGGTACATGCTCACCAGGGTACAGTGTAAGCTGCAGAGAAGATCAATTACAAGCAAAAAGGCAGCAAGGTGGGGGTTCAGGTTCGGTATCTTCCATCATTGCAAACTACCACTGTGAGAACTGTGTCCCAGGTGTGGTCTTGCGCTTTTCTCGGGTGGGGCTGGCGGGGAGCACGTGCAGGCACACACCTTCAACAAATTTAGACACCGCTGCCACCCAGACCTACCACCATTAAGCTGGCAGGCTTCAGTGCGGGCATCAGAAAGGTGGTTCAAGAGGTCTGCCGAGGCTCAACCCCTTCACAAAGAGAAACCACCTACAGTACCACTCATCAGGAAGACACCTGATTTAGAACAGGTATTGGAACGTGCATTAAATAGACCGACAGGGAAGCCAAAAAAAAAAACACAAGCACTACCAATACGTCAGTAAGTGGACCGCTGTGATGTCTATATAAGGTTTGACTGCATGTTTTCTTAAAACAACGTAATGGCAGAGGAGACAAGTGCAGATGTTTGGATGGGTGCTCACCTGCCAGCTCAGGTAACATCAGTCCTCTTCAGGCCGAGAAACTTGAGGCCAGCCCCGCGAGATGCAAAACAGCCAGATGTGGCCAAAGGTGAAACCACTCCCGCCTCACAAAGCAGAGCCTACTTTTGAAAGCACAAGGAATCACAGCAATTAAGGAGTCATCAGTTCAACCACAGAGATGGAAAAGGAAAATGAACACTGATCTAGCAGAAACACCCATAGGAACACACTCTCTGCACAGAAAAAAAAACTTTCTTTCTCTCTCTCTCTCTCTCTCTCTCTCTCTCTCTCTCTCTCTCTCTCTCTCTCTCTCTCTCTCTCTCTCTCTCTCTCTCTCTCTCTCACACACACACACACACACACACACACACACACACACACACACTCCTGATGAGTCGGTGAAAGTCCAACGAAACAGTCTGGCACAGTCATGCTTTTTCTGTGGAGTTTTGTATATAAGAGAACTGCAAATCCAACATTGAGCAGCTTGCCAGACTGCAATGTTCCCACATTGAGCAGGAAACTCTCAGATATTGCATTCAATACAACTGTCTATCACATTATTCTTCAAACCTTTAGGGGCTACCACTGAAGAGTGCCACACAACACTGACTGAGTGATGCACGTTATGCCAAAACTGGCTGTTCTGAGACTCCAAAGTGAATATTCACTACGCCACAAACGCCTTCTCGCAGCAACCCACCACAGCACCTTTCCCCTTCAACACACACAGTTGCGAGGATTGAGCCCTCACAAAGGACCTTTGGGGCACACAGACGTTCTGGGCTTAGGCCCCCAGCAAGCCTTGTGCCCGCCCTAAGAGAAGGTGGGCTTGCACATCCACGTGAGGCCTATTTTCAACATTTTCCGTATGTGAGGTACCAAACAGTTGCAGCACGTTAGTTGGTTACAGATCAACATGAGCCTCTCCTAACTCCCTCCAGAAGCACCACCTGTGCTGTACAGTTGAGCCCAGGGTCCCCGCAATGGCGGCCAAATACACGATAAACTGGCCAAACCGCAGTCAAGCGCAGAACAAACGGCACTCTGATGAACCTCCATGTCGCAATGGTAAACCCCTTTGCAGTTTGACTACTTCCCCAAGTTGTAGTGTTGTCTCTGACCAAACTGCAACTACGCAGCCCAGAAAGGCTGTGTTCAAATAGAGCACCCCCCCCCGTGCTCTATTCAAATGTGTGCTGCAGTAAGCCTCAGCAGAACCCCGGCGGATGCAGCAATAAGCCAAGAGGCCTGAATAACATCTACCGGTCAGCTCAAGCTTAACAGCGACACTTGAATACATGGAAACAGCGGTAGCGGCAACAGTAATAAAGGAAACACAGCAAAGGCTTATGTAGCAAGGATTAGCAACTAGACGTGCAGCAGAACTGAGCCCAGCCCAGCAAGAGGACAGCAATAGCACGAGTACGACGCAACCGCAGCTCGTGCAGCAGTGACTCCCCCTCATGCAGCAACACCAGTCCCGTGAAACAGCAACTGTAGCGGCTCGGAACAACAACAACTGTTCAAATCCCAACCACACTGTGCCTGCAGCAAGCTGTAGCACGCAGCAACTGCACTGGCCTCAGCTTTGTGTTGGTCGTTGTCCCGAATGCACCATCTCTCATGAATCAAGAGGTAGCTCTCAACTTGTCAATCCTCGCTACGACTGGTCCTGTCCCTACTTTACGTATTTGACACGTACTTCAACCAGAAACATGAAACCCCCCGGGGTACAACAAGCCTGACTTCGTATTCAACAAAGATAAACATCACGATCAACAACGCGAGCGGCTGTAGGTGCAAACACCAAGGCAGGCGGCGGGATGCCGGAGGTAACCATAGCGAAGATCACAGTCACGACTCTCATTTTACTACTCATGAAACGAGCAAAATGAGAATGTGTCTTCCGCTGAAATTCAGGCAGATACACTGCCATACACCGTGTTCCCTTCGACCCACACAGCAAACCCGTCCTTGAGTAGCTCGACTCCCAATTCCCTTGGCCTCTCCAACTCTCCGTGGTAAGTGCTTCGAATCCCCTCTCACGTGCGCTCTTACCTTCACTATTACTCTCGCTCGTAGTCGTGCGGGACGAAACTCAATCCGGCTCTGAAACCCGGAGCCGTTATACCACCAACTGGCCGACCAAACGTGATGGAGAGCGAGATCGCGAGATCGCGAGCTCAATCACGGCCGTGGCGAAGACCACGATGAAACACACAGCGACGGAGAGCATGTTCACACTAAAAAACACAGCCACTATGACGAGCATGGAGGGATCATGATGACGTTCATGACGACGAGTAGCGCGCGCTGCTACCTGGCCCATTCCACTATTCACCAAACGCGCAAAATCCGAACGTACCTTCCGCTAGAAAATGGAAAGATATATGGCCACTGAGATTGCCCGCTGCTGCAGTGCTCATACTTGGACTGAATGAGAATGAATCTTCCCCTGTACTGTGGAAAGATACATCCCTGCTTCAACCGGCTCCTCCCATACGCAGCACTTACTGTGCATAGCACCTAATGTACACGGCGACGAAGAGTATGTTCACACTAAAAAACACCGCCACTATGACGAGCATGGCAGGATCATGATGACGTTCATGACGACGAGTAGCGTGCGCTGCTACCTGGCCCATTCCACTATTCACCAAACGCGCAAAATCGGAACATACCTTCCGCTAGAAAATGGAAAGATATATGGCCGCTGAGATTGCCCGCTGCTGCAGCGCTCATACTTGGACTAAATGAGAATGAATCTCCCCCTGTACTGTGGAAAGATACATCCCTGCTTCAACCGGCTCCTCCCATACGCAGCACCTACTGTGCATAGCGGCGATACCGCTCCTCGAAGCAAGAATCTGAGCTCCTCAAGTGCCTCGCAGCTCTCAAAAATCCCAATTTAGAATCCTCATTTGCTCGATTCCACAGAGAAACGAGCGAGTTACTCTCCTTTTCCCTTTTCGTTCTTCCTCTTCGACCTTCCCGTGCACATCCTTTTTCTTCGACCTCCTCTTCTACTAACCCTCGATTCGATCTCACTGCAAATTCGGGGTCGCCCACCCCGAAAACCCGTATCCAGCACTTTAGTTCACTTGAGCCCGATGGGAATCGAGCGTGCTAAAACGAATTTCACTCCGCTATCCTCGTTCTTCACCATCTCCATCCCCGAATGTACCTGGCACAGATCCTTCCCAGATTCACTCCCTTTCTCCTTGCCTCTATTGCCAACACAGCGCTCGATAGCGGGGGAACCCACAACGCCTTGATGGCATTGTTGAACAGCTCCAGCTACCCGGAGAGAAGTTCAGAGGGAACCAAGTACTAGACGGTTCGATTAGTCTTTCACCCCTATACCCAAGTCCGACGAACGATTTGCATGTCAATATCGCTGCGAGCCTCCACTAGAGTTTCCTCAGGCTTCGCCCTGCTCAAGCATAGTTCACAGCCCTTCGGGTCCCAATGGGTATGCTCACACTCAACCGCTCACAGCAGATCGCGGGTGGGGGATGGTATATTAAGTCGTCGGTCCCGCGCCCCAACGAGATGTCGTACCAAATACCCTTTGGCGTGCTTTTCGTAGATCATGTAGGCGCGCTGAGAATTTAAGTCCTTGTCCGGATGAGCGGTGCGTGCAGTGAACACAGCGAAGCGTGGCCTTCCAAAGCCCAAGTGTGCACGGTGTTGCAGGCCAGCGGCACGCGCGGCCCCCTCGTCCCTTTATCTTTTTGTTTTCCCGTTTTATTCTTATTTTTTTTATTTTCTCATTTTATTTTTACTTCTAGCTTTGTTCGGTGATCGGTTCCAAGACCCGCAGTGAAACTCAAGAGCCTAGCTCAATGGGTACACCCATGAATTGTTGAAATACAGACCCAAGTTCGAATTCAGTTGCGATCAGATGCATAGAACGAATAATTCCGAATTTCTGATGCAGTCAGATGCATAGGACATAGGATGCCTGTCGGTGCGGGCTGCTGTGGTCGGGGTACTGGCAAGTTTCCTTTGTCCGGGCCGTCTCGAAAACACAGGCCGAAGAGTCAACGTGCACACAGGCTGGTGGGTGTTTAACGCCACGAGGCGGAGGAAACCTGAGTGGCCTAGGCCCTCTGCAAGTGCACCGTCCGCCAACCCCGGTCTGTTTTGAGAGGCTTGAATGTGAGCAGGCCTTTGGGACCCGAAAGATGGTGAACTATGCCTAAGCAGGGCGGGCCAGGGGCGTTGAGGCGGAGGCTCGCGCTGATACTAGCGTGCAAATCGTTGGTCAAACGAAGGACCAGTTGAGCCGTCTAGTAGCTGGTTCCCTCCGAAGTTTTCCTCGGGATAGTGGGAGTTGTCGAGCAGCTTATTGCGCGGGCTATGAGACTGTGCGTAATGGATAGGAGTTGAACCTAGACATGGGTGCGTACTAGGTGCATCAGAAGTTTGAAGGCGAAGAATAAGTAAGGTGAGAAGAAGAGGCTAAACGGATATGGACATGGAGCGTGACCGCGGGCACAAAATAAATAAATAGAACGAAGAGATGGTGGTGCGCTAATCGAAAGGAACCACGAAGAGGAAGAGGGAGTAACTTACCTGTTGGTTGCGGTCACAATGGTGCTCATCCCCGTGGTTCTCATTCGTGGAGGCTTTCTTCTCCATGGTGTTCAGCGCTCTTAGGCAGTCCCGAATGGTATACTCACCTAGTCGAGGTTCTGGCCAGGTTCGCTGAAAAGTGGGCATGTATGGGGGCGGGTGTGATAGTGGGGGAGAACGAAGATGGCAGAACGGAATTTCCTTAGCTCGCTCGATTCTTAATGGGATAGAGTAAACTAAAGCCCATAATAGAGGTTATTGACTACTACGAATTGAAGGGCAGCGTCAGATATCATGACCGGGGGGTAGATTTGGAGACAGGATGGTTTGGCCCTACGTGAGAATGAAGATGTAGGGAGTAGAAAATGTAAAACTCGCCAGATCCTTGATGGAATCACGCAGGGAAAGATAGAATTCGGGGGTTTTCGAACAGGGCGAGTCTGGCTACGAGGTCAGATTTAGAGGTTAGTGAACGGTTTCACTATTGCAGGAGTGAAAGGCTGCACACTGCTCAGGCAGAAG